TGCCACCATGAGATGAAACTTGATTACTGTAATCTTGATACTGTAATATATTATGGGATGTCTTCTGATAAGAATTAAATATTAGCAACTAATGATTGAATGTGTATTAAAATTAATTCCAGCATGCTTTAGTTTAAAATGTGGTGTCCTCCCTATGAATACATGTGCTGTGCATTCTCACTGTTAAAAAATAAGATTAACGTTCTGTAAGTGAATTTGATTTTTAACGGTAAGAGGTAATAAAAAAGAAGAACAGCATCAACAGACAAATGAATACGTTTAATCACCCAACTATCAGTTTCTCTGTCACCCTCTTTGTGATTTGGGAGTGAAGAGGTTTAACCTGTAACTGTCCTGGTCAGAATCAAGGTCTTATGGGTCAACAAATGCCAATACTTGTATCTCCACGATGTGCCTTCCTGATGTTTCTTCACTGATGGCTATAAAGTTAAAACTTCCCCTGTCCATGTCCACAGTTTGAGTGCAGGCTCTCTTCTTCCTGAAGGTCTACAGGGAGTCACAGGCCGACAGAAACTAAAGCCACCACAGATGTTTGTTCTCAGATCTTATATTTTTCCACAGTATTCCAGTGCAATTCAGTGAACATCTGAGCTTCATGGGGAGATTTCCATTGTCCCTGTCTATAAAGAAACATTCACACACCTTCTGTTAATCCTCCACTGGATGACACCCAAACCATAAATCCGCTGTCAGCACGCTATGTGTGAAACGACTGATAACTTTAAGTCTATAGTACTCTTGGTAAAATAGCTCATTAGCATCACTGAAGCCACTAATGTTAAGGATGGTCACGTTTTTTCTTTTCTTTTCTGTTTTCCTTTTTCCAATTAATGTCTTAATGGCTCGTTTGATCTCATAATCTATAAAAGTGCTTTACATTAGGGTTTATTAGATATCTGTCAGTAGACCAATGAAACAGGTTGTCAATACTGACAGTTATGAAGCTATTTAAAATGACATTTTAAATGAATGTGTTTAATGTCCTGCAGTTCTTTGTTGTAATTCACCTCTAACTGGTTAAAGAGAAGCAGCTGACGTCTCACTTATGTGTAATTCAACTGTCTTTGGCTCCCCCCACAGTCTGAAGCACATGATGACACATTTTACATGCTGTATTTGAATCCACTAAAACAAGAACATAGATACAACTATTTAAAGACATTGTATACATTCTTTAACAGTGTTTAGCTGTAATAAGTTGTTGGCTACCTACCAACACAAGCATACACTGTTTGCTAAGACACTTATACTGTAGGTCCTCTCTAGTGATGCAGTTGAGACTTTTGGTGCTGCTGCAGTCCCCATGTTCCAGAGGAGCTTCAAAACAAAGCATCTGCTATGAATAGCGGTAAACCTAGATAGACAGATCCTTTTGCTTTAAAGTACCTGGAAGTAGAGCCAAGAAGTGGAAGTTTGAGAACTATAAATAAAAGCCAAGCATTGATATGAATATTTCTCATCCTTCCAGCATTAGAGGTGTACTGTTAGCTCTTAAATGCAGTAGCACTGGTGTCTGGAGATGTGCTACTGTTAGCTCTTAAATGCAGTAGCACGAGTTGTTACTTATTGTATATGTATGACCAAAAAGAAGTGTTTATAGTTCTCTAATTACAGTGATATATACAGTATGTATCTTTAGCAATGAGAACTTGCTACTGTAGTCACCAAACCCTCAATGTGGACACATTGTGGAAGAAAGTAAATAATATCTGAAAGTGTGTATGGCACTCACAAAAAAGATCATGTTAGACCTTAATACCTCTAAGTTTAGACAAACTGCTTTGGTCCATCTATGGAGGATTTTAGACATTTGAGATCCTTTGTTTTACCTAAACAAAACAAAACTAAACTAAACAAAAAATGATGTCAAATTAGGTAAGAACACCAAAAATATTTAAATTTCTAAATACTGGGGGACAAAATGGCTCTCTTGATGGTGCAGTCATTTCATAACACATTTCATGTAATTCATTAGGAAGACATGAAGTCAGGGTTCTCACAAATACAGCAAAGGCTGTATTCTAAATGCTGGAATGAACGTGTGTGTGTGTGCTGCTTTAATTTCAAACAACAAACAAGACTTCAATAATTCAACTCTCAGCCCCCCTTGTGTTGTGACAAATAGAGGCCACATCGGCACACAGTGGCAAAACCTGATGACAACCCAATCTGAAACACTGCTGTCTTGACCTTTTCCTCTCCCACCTTCACTTTATTTTATAATAATTGTTTTTTTGCAGCAATTTTCTTTGTTGTTGGACAGTGTACAATCATAAGTGACAGGAAAAGGAAAGCTGATGCCACAACATTAGGGAGGAGGTATACATAGAGGCAAGGTTACATGTCCAAAAAGCAGAGAACCTAAAGTAAACGAAGGTAAAAAAAGATAATCTGCTGTTCAGAGATGTGACCTGAGCAGAGGGAACACCCTGTGTGTGTATGTGTGTACGTATGACAGGAATAATCATCAAACATTTTTTTGTAGGCGACACTGTACTGCACTTTCAATTTGTCTGTTCAAATTCTGACAATGTTAAATGTAAATGGAGGATAATAGCTGCCTGTTAGCTTTTAGATATGACCTGCCGTTGTCGGGTTCTTTACTGTCAGTGACTGTAAGATGTGTGATAGACAGTGAAGGATCAGAGCTGTCTCAATATTTCTACTTTACAACACCACAAATGTAATTGGAGATAAGAAATAAACAAAAGGTGGGAAGGACCTAAGTCGGCCATTTTATTTCTCTTTAAACAAGGTTTCATTCTTGTGTGTTGAGGTGGAATGTGTGTGTGTGACCCTGGCTCAGAATGACACATTTGTCATCATATGAGAAGGGGGTGAGAGCAGTTATTGAAGGCTTGTTTTTCATCAAGGTGAAATTAAAGCAGCACTTCAAGGCACAGCACTCACACACACATTCAGTGCAGCAAATTACTTCTGTGGGAAAACCTGGAGTGGACACAAAGTCTAAAATGAAAACCCAGCCCATAACTTCAGGCAGTGTGTGTGTACTTGCATGTGAACCACACTACATGACAGTATTTCTCCCTTTCCTTTATGTATCTCCATACTGTTGGATTACAGTAATCAGTAGTAATGAACCACTGTGCTAGTAATAAGTGTGCAGCTCTAATATATCAGCAGTTTTTTTACATCAAACATGCATGTAACATGTTTCAGATGCACTACAGTTTAATTTTTCTGTGCCGTGTGTTATACTGTGTTCTATGTCTTCACTAACATAACCACATATACTGTATCAGTAAGGCACAGGAAGACTAAGGCGGATGCAGAAACCACTTGCCTATGAATCAACAGGAAGTTATGATCTGTGAAGACACGTGGTTCATGTTAAGACAGTTTAAACACTAATCTACACTATAGTAACAGTTATTTTTGGATATAACTGTAGAGTAACTTCTTGACAAATGTTGCCTGACCCTGGAAATAGCACATCACACTAAAGTTGAATGTATTGTGCATTTTTACTGTAAGATAAATACATACACAGGAGTCAATTACTTATCTAAAATAGAAAATGTAATTATGTATTTTGCATTTGTAGAGTTTGCTCCTTAAGTTATTAAGTAAATATATAATATAAAAGAGAATAACTGAAAAGGAATAAAAGAAAGATTCCTAATGAAATTGTAATGCACTTTTCTGCTTTTGGCTGTCTGACAGAAAACAATATATTCCCAATATATAAAACAATATATGAATAAACCAAAAACAACCTCACTTGAAAACATTTACTTTATACAAAAATTGCAAGAGTCTGATGTTTGACTGTTCATCTCTTGTGAACATCTCACCCTGAAAACTACAGGAAGTGATATTACTGAAGTCTTCCTGGAACCTATGTGCACTAGCTATGTCATGATATAAAAGCCAAACCAAAAGTCTACACTCCTAGACAACCACTGAACCATGTTAAGATTGAAAAAAAACCCCACCTTATTTCACACTGTGTGACTGTCTGGTTAAACATAAATGATGATAGTTTCCACTTGATAATGTCATAAGATGTACCAGCTTATATCAGAAATTCAACATGTGCACCCAAACAGCTGAAACTATATAACCTACATCCTTCTGAAAAAAAAAAAACTAATGTCATACACATCAATGCTGGCAGAAGCAAAATAATAAGAAAAATGAACCTAGACATTAATATTCAATGTGACTTTCACCCACACTCACAGAAATGAAATTCAAGGACATCCTGCAGTGAGCTGAGACATACAGACTTTCATATAAACAACAACCTGTCCCACTTAAACAGTTTTAACATGTAACAGGATCACACAGTCCACATTCATTTCTTCCTTAAAGGTTTAGTGTACATAACATTTAGAGTGCAGCATCATAAGAGATTAAGATCCACTGCCCTCATCAAACATTAGCTGTGTGCTACATGATATGCTGGGAAGATTAAAGGACTCCTTGCTTGATGTAGACATCAGTGAAACAAAAGGTGAGAGTCATCACTACCTCGAAATATATGTATAATCAGCTTTTAATTTCAGTGGGACGAAAGTACAGAAGAGTATTAGGGCCACTGCATAAATTTTTTTTAATTAGGGCCACTGCATAATTTTTTTTTTTTAATTCTGACTTTATTCTCAGAATTCTGAGTTTAAAGTCAGAATTAAAAAAAAAAATTATGCAGTGGCCCTAATACTCTTCCGTACAAAAGTCACCAATCAGTTCTTCTCTTTTAAACACTTTACACTTGTCCTAGTTTCCATCATCACTCTTTCTATTCAATCAACACTGTTTCATCCTGACCAGAAGACAACCTCACAGGTATTATATATTTGTATCTTTATCTTCTTTTCATCTGTCATCTCTTCTTCTCATTTCCTCTTTCTTCTTAGCTTTACACAGGAAGTGCCATCATCCGCCCTGCCCCAGTGACTGCTGCTTATTTCTCAGTTGTGTTTCTTTCACACATGCAAACTGCATGCACCATCTCACCCACAGGCAGGAACTGTGGGTCATACTGGAGTGTCTCTAACAAGACATTTGCAGAACTATCTGGCTCTCTGCCTGTTTTGCAGCATCTTCTCTCAGGTGATCCATCCATCTCTGCAGAAACAACATGAGCATACGGAAACTGAGTGAGTATGGTGTGCGTTCGTGTGTCTGTCTGTGTGGAGCAGCTACACTGTTCATATGTTCACACAGACAATCAGCCCTTAAGTTAAGCAGTGCTGACTGTCAGACACTGCCATGTTTTGCACTGTTTTAGTAGTAATGCTGACATGCAAAAATGAACTTGTAACTGAACTCATTACTCTTTTTAAGAAAAAAAGACTTGCAGAACAATGAAAAAAGGGCTTGTTTTGTAAAGTTAGTTTCATTTAGTTAAGTTACACTATATGTTTTCTGTACTGTGTAGGACTTAAATTACATACATGTTTTTAGGTTCTATCCTTTTGTTTCTTTGTTCAGAGAAAAAATACAGGATATGGAAGTTTTACCCCAAGGTAAAGTTAGTGATAGTAAAATGCAAAATGCAAAAAAAAAAAAAAAAATTAAAAATCCCCTAATTGACACACAGAGATAATCATGCATGACCACATACACTACACACACCAATGTACATTTTGCATACAGTATTATATTTTCCACTTGTTAGCTATAAATGAACACTAACATTCGTTGGCTCACTGCTTTTACATCTACTCTGATTTAGTCAAAAATCAATTTGGTCTAACAGCTGGGCAGAAAGTGAGGTACTTATTTCTGAAAGCTCCATTTATTGATTTATTTGCCATATAGGAATAGCACAACAAGCAGGAAACATAACTTTGACATCAACTTATTAAGTTATCACGTTATTGCTGTAGCACTCATTTGAAGCTGTGTTTCTGTCCATCTGATAAATTTAAGCTCTGTTTTTAATCTTCACCATCCGTTGAGAAAAATATTATCTAGCTTACTAGATGATCACCAGCTAGTTGCTAATGTTTGCACTGATTCTGGGTAGGTACCATTTGATTAAAACAGCTGCCTGTTATGGACTGAGGCTGATGACACAAAAGTAATGAGTTCACAGATGAGAGCTGAGGAGATTTTTCTGCAGGTTTAAGTCAATTGATTCATTACTGATACAGAAAATATTGTGCAGCTTTAATTAAAGCAGGTTCATTAACTTCTCTTTCCCCTTTCTTTAACTTTTTCATCTCCTTAACAATCCAAATGTCCTCACTGTTCCCAGTTACTCTTGATTTCCTCACACCTTTCATATCCTCCCTAACCAAATAGCCAACTGCAACTTTCCTGCAACTTTGATCATGTGTTAACCATTTTCAAAGTGGCAGGAAAGGTAGTTGTAACATGACTGTAAATAATTTAGTTATAAAGGACTTAAATCTCACCATCAATCAATGACATGCTGACCAGCATCACTTCTGGCCTCAGTCTCTCTCAATCTCTTCTCATCTCAAGGTTTAAAGTGGTTCGGCAGCCTCACCAACCTCTCTTTTCGCCGATCCACTGAGAAGTCTGACTCCAAGTCCTCTCGATTGAAGTCTGAGGCTGGAGTAGGGAATGCACCTGCTGATGGCAGTGACTGTGGCACTGCCTCTATAACGACCCTGACTCCGGTTGCTGAAACAACAGTGGACGACATGGTCACCATGCGTCCTCGCACAGAGAGCTATGTCCGCTCCAGTGAAAACTACACACACATGGGCACGCTGCCACGACTACTGATGAAGAAGAAAGAGAAGAGTAACAAAGGTAAAGCAGCAGAAGTTATGTTCCACACTTAAGTGAAATATACTTCAATGTAACACTTAGCTTTAGTGGAATTTTGGGAAAAAGCGTGAAAAATACTTCAATGTAGCAATTAGCTTTAGTGGAATTTTGGGAAAAAGATAATGACCAGTTCATAAAGAGCGAAGCTTCTCTCCCAGTTTATTTTATGTTTAGTTATGATGCCCTGTTCCTTGTTCTTTTGGAGGTCCCAAAAGCAGTAAGAAGAGTGAAGACCATAGCAGCAACAGCAGAAGACCAAGTCAGCAGCCTGCAGGCGACAAAGACTGTGGGTCCCCGGAGCTCACAGCCTCATCCAAAGTGGCTGAGGATACAGCTGTAGTTAAAACTGACACTGGGCTCACACAAGACTCTCTAACTGACCCCAAGGCCCAGCCTGAACCAACGGGTGAACACAACATTACAAACAACCAAAACACCGCCTCTGGACCCACATCTGCCTGTGAAGGTGTGTCACCATCTGGTGGCTCATGCTCTGCACTCCAACCAGAGACATGTGTTAAAGAAGGAATCACCAGTGGAGGTATAGAACTAAACCCTGAAGAGATTTCACCTCCTCCATTCAGCCATGGGACCGGTCAGACTGATCAGACCGATCAGACCGATCAGACCGATCAGGCTCATGAGGATGATGGGTTAAAGTCTGAGCTTGTATCTAAACCAGGAGTAGCAGACAGCAGAGAGCTGACGGAAGGAGCAGACACAGGGAACCAAAGCTCTGACAGCATTTATAGGTGATTTGTTCTTTCAAAAGTGTTTAATTATTCTTAATATGAACTGTTTTTTTTTTTTTTTTTTACATTGAATGGGGTATGGGCAGTTTTATTTTTGCCCCCAATCTATTAAATAAGTCTATCTCATGGCCCCTCACAGTCATTAAACTAGCCCTATTAGTTACAATAGCAAATGGATACACATGAATAGCAATCTACAGTAATAATGACATACAGTATATAATCATATATTCCTCACAGGGTTCCCAAGTAGGCTATCTTTACTTTTTTTTTACACTTTGAGCAGATGTTTCTGATAACTATACCTGTAAATTAAGGTCTTTTTTTATTTGTTTTATTGGTACTTTACTTATCTAAAGAATCTGAGTAGCCTACATCTTCCACCACTGGTCGAGTTTATTTCAGTGTGTACTTACACGTCGCCCATCCCTAAATAATGTCGGAGCCAGAGGGCGCAGACCCGTGTTTTAACAGCGCGTACCAAGGAAGGAGAACGGTTCACACTTCACAGTTTGAGTCGACGTTGTTGATCTTAACTTGTGCCAGGCCGTGGGTGTGATGTGAGAAGAAAACAGGATTCATTACTTCACTTTTTTAAAGGTAGCAGGTAACATTGATTCCTTCTATTGATCAGATGCTGCTGGAAAGGTGCCGCTCTGTTGCTGATTTGATCTTTTCTCATTTTGCATTGATTTGTTCAGACACTCGGGAGACAGAGAGAAATACGCTTTGTGTGCGTAGAGTGTGTGCGTTTGGGTTTCATCGTGTTGAAGGTGATTCATCCACAAAATCTGAAGTTTGTTGAAGAGTTTGAGGGAAACTGTAACTGTTGAAAGATATCCCTTCCTCCGCCTCCTCTCAGCCGAGCACGTTGCATTTTCTCGCCGCTTTCCCAGGACGTGCCAAGGTCCGTCTCCGACATAGCAGAGCGCGTGTATCCTGTTACAGTGGGATTTCACAGCGTGTGTATGTGCGTAACCGTAGTGTAGTTGCGCTGGCATGCATGGACTCGCGTGTGTGAGTGCAGCCTTAGCCCATTAGTTCAGCGCAGAACCGTGGGAAATGCAGCCGTGCACATCAAAGAGCTCTCCACCTCATCTGTCTGTCTGTTCAGTCCTAAATCATAAGTCCATCCGTCAGTCTGACTGTCCATTTCCCTCGGTTAGTCGTACTCTTGTTCTCTTCAAAGCAGAGCTCATTACTTCTTTGCCTGCTTTTTTGGTGGATGGTAAGATTTGAAAGGAATTGCTGTCATACTGTTTCTGGGATAGTCAGCACATCTGGCATAATTATGAACTTTGTTCTTTGAGCTCGTTGTCCTGTCATGGAGCAAAGTATGCCAGCTCCTTGTTTGGTACAAATTTGAAAGGGATGCCTTGACACCGTACCTGCCTGAATCCATCACACTTTCTACACCTCATATGATTAGTTGATTAATATCTAAGCTGATTGATAGAAAGTTCATTGGCAGCTTTTTAGATACTTAAGTTGTTTTTCAAGAAAAAAAAACGCTAAACATGATCTACATCCAGCTTCTCAGTTGTTAGGATTTGCTACTTTTCTTAGTCTTAAGTGAAAGTAAGTTGATATGTTATGGGTTTGAGACTGTTGGCTAAAACTAAGCTATTTGAAGATGTTACCTTGGGCTTTTAGAAAATGCACCATCCCCCTATTTTACTTTTTATAGACCAAATGATTAATTCATGGATAAAATATAAAATAATTAATCACAAATGAATATAATATCTAGAGGCAGCCTGACAATTATGGTCAGTTTGAATTCAATTTTTAAGTGTACAAGCCAAAATCACAAGTTTCTTATCTTCTTCCAGGATCAATATGATTTTAAAACATACTGTAGCAGACAGAGCTAGCAGTAGTAGAATTACAAATGCAGCAGAGTATTAGCATTAATTAAAGAAAAATCAGGCACATGGCATATGATTATGTGGAGAAATGTGTAATAATTTGCATCTGGAATACTTATAAGGAATTGTGTATCAAACTGTGATCAGACTTGCAGCGTTAATCTGCTATTCAAGCAAGATATCAAGTGTTTTCTATACTGTAGTTCCAGTGTTTGCACCACAGCTGGTATGCTTGACATTGCAGGTAGATCTACTGCAGTGCTTCACAGCTTTCTTCCCATCTAGACCTGGTCTGTGCTGTTATCAGTGCGAATGATGTAGGTACATTTGTACAGTCTGTTTTTTTAAGCCAATTTCCAGCACAGCAGTGGCTTTGGATGGGGATATACAGTAGAGCTCTACTGCCATGGGAGCCATTAACATTCACGAGGCCACTGCCTTGATAGGACTCTTTGATCTGGTCTGTCTGTGGTCATATGTAACACGGCTTTGCTCTGGGCCCTCTGAGACCCATCACGCAATTGGGAGCTGTGCTGATTGATCTTAAAATTTGTCTGGGAGTGTAATTGCCCCTTTTACTCATGCCTGCTGTGTATCACAAAGCGGCACAGCAGTACTCACAGTATGGATCCCACGTCTGTGACACAGTGGGGTTTTTGACACATGATCCGACTCCGTCGTGAATGTAAAGTGCAAGTTATGGTGCCTGAGAGATTTGAGAGGCCAGCTGACTATGCAGTGACCTTAGCAGTTCAGTGGGGTTTATTATCTATTCATTTTCAGTGAGGCTGGACTGCATCAACATTTTACTCGCTGGAGAGGCCGCTGTAGAAATACAAGTTAGTTATTTGTTAACATGCACTGCACCTGTTACAAAACCAGATCAAACACTAAAGCACATACGTATCTACATGTGTGTATCAATTCACATGTACACACAATGCAGACATGTTATGGCCTTTTTCTGGTTATTACATTGCTTAACCTTGTTCTTGTTTTGTGTCCTTTTTGCTCTTCAGCCACATGGAGCCAGCTGAGGGCCAGGCTGAATGCATCCAGGTGAGTCTGTTCTGTCCAGGTTTGTGTCTTTGCCGTCTTCTTTCAGTGTGTTTGCTGTCAAATATGTGGTATGATCTTGTGTATGTATTCAGTTACTTGCATGTGTGAGATGTAAGTGAATATTTTCCAACAGAAATCTTTCTAGCTCAGTGAAACACGGTCTGTATAATTATGACAGATACTGAAAGATATGATTGATTATTACTGATTATTTTCAATCTTTCTGCACACCAGCAGTGTGTAATATTGTATGTCAAAGATCACATTCGACAGTGTTGTCCTATTAATGTGCGGCATTGCCTTTTCTGTTTGATTAAACATTTGTAACACTCTCCACCAGTGGTGTTGAGGATCAATGTGAGAACACTGATATAGGATCACTTTCTAATTTCTCATAACTTGTTTTTTGTTCACATACATTTAAATACTGATAGATATGAGTTTTCAGCCTAAATGAGCCATTAGGTGTGAATTTCCTCTCATATTATTGAATTAGATTTTTAAATGTGAACACTCAGATGTAATTGCAGCTGATTATTAGTCCTTAGTCGTTCACACTGCATTTAGCTTAATTCATTCTGCCACTTAGCTAATTGAATTTGGAGCTAAGCAGCGCTAATGCTAGTGCTGTGCCGATGGCATGTAATCTGTACTGCTGCCAGTAGATGGGGCCATGTACTGGAGCTGTGAAGTCTGAAAGTATGTGAACCTGTTTCATGTCCTTGGTGATGGATGACAGGGAGCTATCCATCCTGTTTACTACAGTACAAACACACATGAATTTACATACTGGACTTTAAACTTGAGGCCAAAAGTGGGAGGTGAAGAAAGCGAAGCTTAAAAAGGAGGGAAGTAAGAAGCAATAGAGAGGGAAGGTAAGACTAAAGAGAACTGTTGAGATATTTAGATCTGTTTTTCTACTGATTATACATCACCAACCAGTGTTACAGTAAAAGCCTTCTCCTGTGACCTGACCTACTCCTTTTGTAAAACAAATACATCCAGCTTCCCCTGGCCACAACAGGCTGACTCCAGTTAGATCCCACTGCCTAAACAACTTGTTAAATATGTGGCATTTGCTGCCTCATATAGCGCCTCTGCTCTTTTCCCTGAAATGCTTTACTCTATAAACATGTATAAATTTTTATAATGTAGTCTTTATTTCAGGCGGACTGGCTCACATCCCCTATAAAGCTCTGCTGTGTATTATGGCCTGTTAATCATTTTGGGAGTGCTAAATTCCAGTAGAGGTTTGTGAATTGTGCCTTAAGGCTTTTTACACGAACCATAGTTACTGTTTGTAAATGTAGTAGTATGTCACATTGTCACAAGGCTTTTCTTATGTGATTAATATTCCCCTAAGTGGGACCTTTTAGGGTATTTCTGCTGTTATTTATTAATGGACTTTTGAGACAAGGAGGCCTCTAGACCTGGGACTTACTGTAACATGTTTCACACCGACACAGAATGTTGCCTGAGTAGCCCACGTCTCCCACCAGGGTTTTCAGATTTAGCTAATCCTGACATTGGTGTGACCGAGTGCTTTTCACATGAATTTTTAACATATTTCCTGTATGTAACACTGGATGATCACACTCACTCACAAGCTCATCATTCAGATTTTAAAAGGCAAGTATGTTAGGTCACTATTTCCTACTATTATACACCTTGTTTTTTCAAATCCTTATACTTTTTCATCCAAGTTTGTTTCTTGTCTCCCGTTTTTTGCTCTCACCCAGCACAACAGCCCCGCCCACTGCTACCCACTCCCTGAAAGCTCCTTCCATTCCTCTGAAACATTTATGACAGCTGATGTTTAAGTCAGGAGTTGTCCTCAGCATTGCCTGTTATAATGGGAGAGACCATAGCAGTGATGTAAATCACATTTGCTTGGTTACACATGTGCAGGCATAGTTCCACACATTTATATGAAAATACAAAATCACCATGAGACAAAATGAGACAGAAAAACTGATCTGATCTGAATACGCTCAAAGAAAGTCAGTAATCAGTAAGAAAAGCACTGAAGCATTCAGGACAATCTCTTCATCTTTGAGGCCTTATAAACTATGCATCCACATTCATTTTTTGTGGGGAAGCAGGGCTGTTCAAACAACATCTGCTGTTTTTTTAAAGTGACTTTTAGTGAATGACATAAAAATGGCTTTAAAATGTATTATGACTGGAGAAAAAAAAGCAGGCCTGACCAAGATTGTTCAGCTTGTTTTTAAAAAAGCATATGCAGTGTGTGTGGTTTCTTGCTCTATGATTGTGTGGGCTGTTTTTTTGCCTGCAGACCAGCCCTGCTTTGTCTCCTGTCCTGTTTAGTGGTTTGATGCTAAATTGATGGGAGGGGCAGGTGGTGGGAGGTGGTCGGTTCATATGAGCTTTATTAACATGTCTAGCATGAGACTCACACTGGTGCTTAAAAAAAATTAAGTGTGTGTATGTGTGTGAGAGAGAGGGGCTCAGCTGTGTCTCTGTGTGGTACTGCATGTTTGATTATGGAAATGTGTGTGGGACTATTACAGTAGATTGAATTAATGTGGCACGGGTGTAAACTGTCAGGACCGCCCTTCGGTAACACACTCCTGGAAAGAGTTCTATGTTTTTCCTTTACTGAGCTGACAGACTGACATCACACCGAAGACAGACATGCCTATACACACTTACATAAATACTCCTGTGTACTGAAAGTCCATTGACACCCTGGATTATTTAGATCACAAAAAGAAAAGGGCCCAGGTACAGTATGATGGAACTATATAAAAAACTGAGGGATGAGAAAAGACAGTAGGCTTCATCCTCTGGGGACCATGAATGTCTTTCCTGAATTTTGTGGGAGCAAGTGAAAACTTTATCCTGCTGATGCCATTATGTGAAGCCTCAGAGGATCACTAAAATCAGTAGGATTCATCTTCTGGGGACAATTAATGTCTGTACCACATTTAACTCATGTATCTAGATATATCAGTCTGTGATGGACAGACTGACCAACCCTCAAGCCGCACCATTAGTGCAGACACAGACTGTCAGCAAGCACACGTTGCTACTGTAAACAGTTTCCAACTTGAAATGTCTCATTGTCTGTCTGCTGTTATAATTACTATTTACAGTGCAGTGGTTGTTGCCCAAACAACTGGTGTTTCAGTCACAAACACTGAGAAAAATGTGATGTGGTAAACAGAAAAGTCTCAAAAAGCCTAACACTGTATCACATGCAAAATGCAGGAAAACTGCATTAGCAAAGAGGACCAGTGGTCACAACACTGGCTGACACATTGCTGGGTATTTGCTTTACAAACTGCAACCTCAGAAATAACCACTGAGTTGAATCAACACCTCTGACAGTCTCAGCAACAATCTCTGATATTTACTGCGGGGCTGTTTTATTCTCGGGTGTTTCTGTTATTGTGTTGACCTGCTACAATGTCAGCACACCCGCATGCAACTACGCAGCGCATATCATGGAGAATAATGACACACTGATCTCTTTAAAACACTGCTTTATTCACAATGAAGATGTGTCTGTTTGTACTGCAACACATTTTTGTAAGGTTTAGTTATTTTCATACAATTAAAATAGGACAGCTGATTTTTTATGGTACAATTTCACACCTGAATTTATATTTTTTTCACATCTGTGTGCACACAATGGCGGCGTGTCTAGCAGGCCTCTTTCTCTCTGCATCATTATTGTAGGCTTATGTTTCAAATGGGCTTTGAAACACATCTCATCTGGGGGTTCAATATGGATTAAGCAGCTGGTGAATAGGGTCCACCCTGTGAAAACACACAGATGACAATCAGGCAGATCATTAGTTGTATGCTCCAAACCCCCAGCACAGCCCAGGCTTTGCTTTTAGATCAACGTTGTGCACACACATAAAAATTATATGTGCACATGTAATCTCTTGTCATCTCTCATGCACTTGCACATACACATATTTTCCTCTCTCGCCTTTCACACGCTTTCTCGCTGTCTGTATTTTCTCCCTATCTCGATGTGTGTCTCTCTCTCACACACACTCCTTTCATTAGAGGGATGCTTGCAGGCACATGCAGGGATGCTCCATTGTGCTCCATATCAGCCTGCGGGATGGGACTCACTAATTAATATCTAACTGAAGACCGCCTCCAAACAGGGGAGGAGATGTGACAATAGAGAACTGGAAGGAGGGGAAGAGGGGATATCCATGGAGGAGAAGGAAAGGGAGAAGAGCAGGAAGGGGAAGATGGGGGTCAGAGAGAAGAGAAGGTTGAAAGGAGGAGGTCGGGTTAGTGATGAGAGGTCTGGATAAGGAGAGGAGAGAGATAAGGGGAGAAGCACAGTGATAAGAAAGGTTAGAGAAAGGTTGGATTCGACAGGGCATAGAAAGAGGGAGGTGAGTGAAACAGGAATCCTCCAGAGAAAGGATAGGTTCAGTGAGTAATGGTGAAAGTGCTGACAGGAAAAGAAATTGAATACAATTGAGGGACAAGCACCTTTTCTGACTTATTATAAATTCAGAGAATAAAAGAAGGAAAGATAAAAAGTATTTAAAGGGAAGCAGTAGTCAAAACAAAATAAGGACAAGGAAGGAAAGAAAATGAATGACGACTGTGGGTAATGAAGTGTATGACACTAAAGTAAAACCGAGATGTTCTTTAGTCATCCTGAAGGCACAAAAGGGTGAATTTACAACCATTTTTCTTTCACCCTGTGTCTGTGGAGAGTTCAGTCTATTACAATAAAGTATCTGAAATTATGTGGAACAGTGGGGCTGGATGATATGTCCTGCAGTACATTCTGGATTACGGTGAAATGTCACATATATCTCCATAATGAAACAATAACAGTTTTGAATGCATTGGTGTGTGAGCTTTAAAATCTTGTGTTGACTCATGTCTAAAATGCTATTTTCTAGTAGGACCATTAAAAAGTCTGGAATGGCGGAGTGGAGTGTGAACTGTTTTGGCCAGTTGTGCAAGTGTTTATATGTCATTGGCTGTTATTAGTA